TCTCTTCTCTTTGAGTGGGTATCTCAGTCAAGTTCTTCTCTTCAGGTTCTCTCTGTGTGTAGCTGACACTGCAGATGGACTGTGGTTCTGATGTAGAGGTCAGGTAGCTCCTGATGTTCTCCAGGCCAGAGCTCTCCATCCGTAACCCTGCAGAGTCTGGGAGCTCTGCACAGTGAAGAGCTTTACCTGCTCTGACACTCCTGACTCTGACTGAGCTGATGAGCTGGATGGTGAGCTGCTGCTGCTGGAGCAGCGGCTCTCAGGGACAGGGGTGTGAGAGCCTTGGCTGAAGGCCATGAGCGCTGTGTGTTTAATGCCACAGAGATTAGCGGCAGCTAATGTTTCTTCTACTCCACATCCTTCCTCTGTAAACGCTCAAGCCTCATAGAATGAGCTGCAGTGGTGCATTTAATCTTTCTCTTTTTAAAGCTGCTGTCTTTTGGATGGTTAGTCTTTTGGATGTGCACGCTGATGTTCAGAGACAGTAGTAAGGGCGGTTACTGTGGCGATCACTGTAATGTAGTGCCTTTAAATCCTGTTATATTAAGTAGCTTTGTTTTGCCTGCGTAAGCACTTATCGCTACGTATATGATACCTATAAGAATTGCTCTACTGCGTAACATGATAATGCTTACATTAGCATTACTGCAGCACCGTGTTTGTAATACCTACATAGGCATTACTATACTGTCATATTTGTTATGCTGACATAATTTATATATACTAAATATATACTATAATTACTGCATAAATACTGTACTTAGTGTTAATAACGAATGAAAAATAAAATATGAATTTTATTTTATCTCTGTTTATAATGCACATATCAGCACTGCTTTAACCTAATTCACCTTAAATTAACCAATTCACCTTAAATTTTGCAGCAGCAGCCTGAGGCGCCAGAAAATAACCACTACAACATTTAAGGTGGAACGGGAAAATTCAAACAAGATTTTGGCGAATAGGAAGCTAGATTCAGCCTCATCTGCCATGATTAGCAAACCAACTACGAGTAAGAATGCGAGTACTCAAGCATTGAAATCACTTAAAGTATCTGCAATAAATTAGCTAAGGTTAGCTGACCTTACCTAATGCTTACCTGTTAAGGATAAAATTAGTGAACTCTGCATCCATCTTAAAGTCCTTCTGGACTCTAACCTGTCTCCATCTTTAGAATGCATCACCAATATTTACATGCATTTTTCCATGTCATGGTCATGAGGCCATGGGCGGGATCACAGGCCAAAACGCAAACAGACTTTCCACTCCAGAACGGAAATGTCAAAGGAGGACATACTGGCTGTAGTACTGTTGTCGGAGACGCCAGTATTTCAACTTGTTTCCTTAATCTCTGATGACAATATGCTGGTCATTATATGATTTAATACAGTAAGTATATTACATATTGTCCCTTTAATAAAGTCACAGTCAAGTCAAAGTTTATTTATATATCACTTTTTACAACAGGTGTTGTCACAAAGCAGCTTTACAAAAAACAAAAATCTGGGTCCCAGCCCCCATGAGCAAGCCAATGACGACAGTGGCAAGGAAAAACTCCTTAAGTGCAAAAGGAAGAAACCAAGGAACCAAGACTCAAAAAGGGGAACCCATCCTCCTCTGGTGGACACCGGATAACAAACAGCATTATAAAAATTATAAGTATAAAATCAGTATAAAATATTAGAATACAAAACAGAGAAAAACAGATGGAGCAATGGTTAATTAGATAGTTTTGAGTTTATGCAGCAGCATCATCAGGAGGGTCAGTTCATGCAGTAATAAATAAAGCAAAGAGCAACAAAAACGACACACTTGCATTACGCCTTCAATTTATTGCAATTGAAGGTGTTATTAAACATGTCGTTAAGTGGAGTAAAATCCCCTTACCCATGATAAAATCACTGTAACGCATGGCCTCAAGAGGCTTAGTTGCTTTTTTTTTTTAAATGGTGAAAACATATAATACACATTTTTTCAATAATTAATATTTCAGTAATACAATATTTAAAGCATTATTAAAAATAATCAAGATAAACAATTATTCCAACAAGTTTAGAGTATGTCCTTGTTGCCAAGGAACCGCTGACTGTTGAAAGAGAACAAGAATATGTAGTCCCTTCGATTTCATAAGCTTTTTTCAAAAACCTTTGCTTTATAATTAGTTTCTGCTCACCAAATTACTACCGCAACAACAATGCTAACTTCCATTAGCACATCTATGTGATTTCCTTTCTTATAGAAGGAAATGATTAGAACCAACATATTACCAAGATATTAGTGATATTAATGTTGGACATCCTTTTCCTGTGCTAAGGTTGACTCCCTGTTTAGTGCACTAATAGGAATTAAAAATATAGCTCCTCCACCCAAACAGTGCATAAAATATCTTATGAATAGTAATTTGGGATTCAGCCATGTCCACACCTGAACAATTCAACACTAAAAGCCAGAATTTCAAAACTTATTGCATTACATAGGAAGGAGGGAGCCGTTTGAGATTCAGCCTGATTTACTGCTGCTTAAGGCAGAGCTAAAACACCTGAAGCATGTAAGACATTCAAGCGACATCCTTAAGTCTTTTAAATGACAGTTTACAGTGAAATATATAGTAAGTTCTTTAATTCAGAGCTGGTGTTATTAATGTTATTAGAGCTCTTTAGCTCATGTAGCCTGTTAACTAGCTGATCAGTTGTAGTTCTAGTGCATTAATACAGAATTGAGGTTCAAACGAGGCTCAGCCAATCAGATTTTAGGACCTGGAAAATCTGTTTTGTAAACTATGTGTTTATAAGGCCTATGTAAGTACTGCTTTAGCACTGCGTTTCTAATTCCTTCATAAGCATTACTTTAGCTCCATTTTTGAAATCCTTTAGCTGGCCATGAGCATTGTTTCAGCAGCATGTTCATAATGCCTGTTAGATCATTTCTTTAACAAGTTAAAGTTTGTAAAGCCTTCATTATGTGCTTGAATTTTGAATGTGGGTCATATCTTGAAGACCATACAGCAGAATTTCTCATGAATTATAAGTTGAATGTAGATGTAGTCATGCTGTTATCGACCTTGTGAGAACTATGCATTGTAAAACATGCAATAATTTTATGTAGTCTTGTTTTTTTTTTTTTTACATTTTAAAGTTGCCAGGAGAGAACCTTGACTCTTCAAAACCTCTCTGGTGAAGAGAAGAAACTTTTGTATTTTATCCGTCTTTGACCTAATCACAGTGAAAAAGATCTTTATGGAGCGCTTTTTGTCTTTTCTTGATTTTTAAAGCTTCCGTAGCTGTAGATTGCCCACAGGCCGTGAGCGGAGGTGTCGGCTTTCAATTTTTGAACAAAAAGAAGAAAAAAGCAGAAAAAGTGCAAGTCAAAACTGTCAAAAACAGAGTTACAGGGTTCAGTCGAGACTGCGGAAACTTTTTCGGCTCTCCTGAAACTGTAATTATCGGCGATGTGGCAATGAAACTCAGAAGCATTCATCAGAAGTACATGTGAACTGCTCCCAGCTCCAGAGCAGTGCAGTATTTAATTATCAACCTGCGCTAACTGCCCTCTCAAAAGATTATATTGTCTTTGCTATCAATAGATGACATCAGCTCAGTGGAGGAAATTAATAGGAATTAGATGATATTTCTGAAGTAATCTTTTTAGCAGTATGGATCGCAGTCTAATCCAGCACTGCGGAAAAAGAAAGTTGCAATTGCGAATGGTGCATTGGTTGAGATGCATCTCAGTTCCTCAGAGATTCTGTAAGCGGAGGGCTGGTCGGTTATTAGTTTTGGGCAAGCAGACATTATAAATCAAGATGACACAAATTGACCATATCTGCTTGGACTTAGCATTGGGAGGGAATATGTTCAGATAGTAATAAATATAAAGTAATTATTGTGTCTCCGAAGCCACCGCCCGACTTGACCAACTGCCAATAAGATGCCCGGGCCTATTTATCAAAATTTACAGCGCAACCTTTGCTTGGGTAAATATGAGGCATTTTAGCTTCACGTCAGCATCTGAGATGGGGTATAGAAACAGAAGGTCTGCTTCATTTTCTAGATAGTGGCCACGGGGTTATTTCATGAGGCAAAATTGATTAGTTTAAGAGTGAGCCAGATAACTGGAGGCAAACTCCTAAAGAAAAGAAAATCTAATTTACAGCTTTCAGCCTTACCTCAACTTTAGTCAGTCAGCCAAGACATGTAGAGTGTCTAGAGTTTGCTTCTTTAGTTTTGCACTGAAGCTACGAAGCTAATATATGCAATAGAAGCTTGCAATAGAAGCTTATGTAAACCAGGTAGCATTCAGCTAGTCCGCCTGCTTGAATCGTCATGTACTTGCTTGAAACTGTGCCGGTCGTGATAATTTAGACCTGCGATTTGCATGATCCTAACTGAGTGACTGTAGCTTCTATGACTTGTTAGCTATATTAGCCTTGTAGCTCTAGTGCTACCTAAAGTAGCAAACTTTGAACACTGAACCAGACATCTTGACTGGTCGACTGCTTTTGGGGTAATGGGTAATTTGTGGAAATTTATTGCTGAACTGTTTCTGTCAGAAGGTAAGCGTCTTTCCTTTGGACCGGCAACTTGTTTAGCTAAGTAAGTCACCCTGCTTTGCCAAATACCCCTTAGCTCGCTCTTTCATCATGCTTCTGTAGTATCTCCTTCATAATCTTCTTACAGGTGGTGTGGGCCACTATTTTCATTGCAACCCTTCATCTCCTCATTCTCCTCTCATGTATCCTCAGTCTTCCCATGCCTTCACAGGCCTTCTAGGGGGACAAATCCCTGAGCAAGCATCTATTTGACTTCTTCTCAAAATTGTTGTAAACTAGTGTTCACCAACCTGCTCCTGAAGGTCTACAAAGAGGGATTCCTGTAAATCCCTAATTGAACACTAGCTAGACTCAGAGTTTAAGGTTGGCAATAGGAGGGTTGGTGACCACTGCTGTAAACTGTTTTCACTGCATCCTTCCTCCTTCTTATCTTCCTCCCATGTGTCCACAGTCTTCCTGTGCCCTGGCCTGTTGAGAGGAGTGTACCAAAGTGAGCATCTCTTTGAATCAGACCACCAGTCGGGCGCCTGGTGCAAAGATCCCCTGCAAGCTTCGGAGAAGATCTACTACATGCCCTGGACACCTTATCGCACAGATACCCTCACCGAATATTCCAGCAAGGAGGATTTTGTGGCTGGCCGTCCCACCACCACTTATAAGCTTCCTCACCGGGTGGACGGCACAGGATTTGTGGTCTATGATGGGGCACTTTTCTTCAACAAGGAGCGCACCCGGAATATCGTCAAGTTTGATCTTCGGACTCGCATCAAGAGCGGAGAGGCCATCATCGCCAGCGCCAACTACCACGATACTTCACCCTACCGTTGGGGAGGGAAGTCCGACATTGACCTTGCAGTGGATGAAAATGGCCTTTGGGTGATTTACGCCACAGAATCCAATAATGGACGCATTGTGATCAGCCAACTCAACCCCTACACCCTCCGGGTTGAAGGTACCTGGGATACGGCCTATGACAAGCGCTCGGCCTCCAATGCCTTCATGATCTGTGGAATCCTCTATGTTGTCAAGAGTGTCTACGAGGATGATGACAGCGAGGCCACAGGCAACAAGATTGACTACATCTACAACACAGAGCTGGGCAAGGATGGATACCTGGACATCCCGTTTCCCAACTCCTATCAGTACATCGCAGCTGTGGACTATAATCCCAGGGACAACCTGCTCTACGTCTGGAATAATTACCATGTGGTCAAGTACTCGCTGGATTTTGGAGCACTGGACAGTCGACCAGGTGAGAAGCGTTGGTTTATTTATTTGTTTACACTGCCCAACAAGAGTTAGAGAGTACCTTGCCTTCTTTTTAAAGTCTTGCTCTTATTTTTTTTATTATTTAAGAAGAATACCTACAACGTACCTTTGTATGAAAAGAAAATTTTGCCTCAATAATGATTTGACAGTTTTCTGCTATTTCTAAAAGCACAGATTGTAAACTGTTTTGGCCCAGAGGTGGTATAAACAGCTAAAAAGTGTTGACTTCACAACAAGAGGATAAAATACTTTGGCTTTGGCTTAATTCCCAAGATAGCACTGTCACTATTACTGTTACATATATTTACTGGTGTGTTATATTCACTCTTAAAAATAAAGTTTTTTTGCGCGATGCCTTTGAAGAAACACTTTTGGTTCCCTAAAGAACCTTTCAGTGAGTGGTTCTTTTGAGAACCACTTTTGTAAATGAAATATATGAGTATGAAGAACCTTTTTTAAACTTTTTTAAAGAACCTCCCCATTATTTAAAGGTTCTAGGAAGACTCCAAAAAATGGTGTAGAGCTTTAAAATCTTTCAAAGGTTTTTTACGCTCACAAACTTCTTCCATCTCTATCTATCCCTCCATTCCTCTATTTCTCTCTCTCTTCTTCTATGGTTTTTTGTCCCTCTCATTCTCTCTCTAATTTCTGAATTATGTGAAGTTTCTCGGAAACCTTTAAAAAGTTCTTCTCACTCACAGATCTCTTTTTCAAGGATGGCTCTGTAGGGAACCAAAAGTGATTCTTGTATGGCGTTGTTGAAAGAACCTTTTGTGAGTGTGGTTTTCCTCAAAACAAACTTGATTAGTCTGTAATACATACTCATTTGTATTAAAAATATAAAAATTTAAAAAAGAAGTTTTGTCTTCAGACTTTGGAGGGACATTATATGTATTTAAGTGGTCTGACTCTTAACAGCCCGCCCAGGTGTGTTTATTTAGCAGTAAGTGTGTCTTCTGTAGGTTCAAAACCAAGGCAATTAGCGGTGTGTTGTATTTTCTCCTGTCTGTAACCAACACGGCGAAGCATTTTAACTACCTGGTGGAGTTGAGGCTTTGGATGTGAAAGAGCAAAAACAGTGCCGGTGGCCTGTAGTTCACTCCAGAAGAGCAGCGTTGAGTGAGTGGGCTGCAGGGGGAGGGAACACAATCGAGTAATTGGTGGTTTTTAGTGAAAGCTTTGCCTGCAGCTTCGCTAATGCTGAGCGTGTTTGTGTGGAGGGAGGGGGAGGAGGTGGGTACATTGTAGCACTGCTTCTTTCTGAATGGACTCTGTAATTGGGGGAGCAAAGAGCAAAGTTAGCGCTCAGGAAATTCTTCTTCAGCATGAAAAAAGTAACAAAAACTGGAATGTCGCCACTTTTTCGTGTGGGTTGGTGGTAATTAGGAAGGCAACGCTTTCTCCACGCACCACATTCGTTTTTTGCTCTTAAAGAATGGGGAAAAAAGGAAAAGAACTTTAATAAACATCTCTGGCAGCTGTGAAGGAAATATTGCCACTTGTGTGGAGTAATTGCGCTGGAGAAAACATGAAGTTCTAATTACTTGCTGTGCTACACCAGGGCACTGGGTAGGACTTTCTTCGCAGAGCTGCTGTAATTGCTGTTGCCGCCTTTTATTTATTTAGTTATTTATTTGATTATTTTTCATTTCCGTGAATAGCACGATATATTGCAGGAGGAAAGAATGAATGTTTTGATATTGACTGTTTTCCTTCAGTCAGTTGAACAGCTTTGTGTTTCCTTGACCTGGCAATGATCACGTCTCAGTACAGTTCAACACAATCTCTATCTTTCTTTCTTTCTCTGTCTCTTTTTTCCTGTCATCCATTCTCTCTCCTTCTCTCTCTTATGTCCTGTCTATTTAACTGTCATTCTGATTTCTCTCTGTCATTTACTCTCTTTGTCAATCACTCCCGCTCTCTTTTTTACCTCACTTTTTCTTTTCTTTTTTTACTCTCATTGTGTTTTTCACCCTTTGCATACACTTCATTCTGTTGCCCACTCTGTCGTTCTCTCTCTCTCCCTCTCTTATTCTCTCTCCATCCATCACTCTTTTTGTTCATCTTCCCCATTCCTCTTTCTTTTTCTCTCTCTCTCTCTGTCTCACTCTTTCCTTCTTTGTTTCTCTGTCCTTCCATCTCCCTCAGCCGCACTCTCTCGCTTGCTTTCTCTTATTTTTGGTCTCACTGCTGTTCACTCTTTCTTTCTTTTCTTTTTTTCTGTCTTTATTTCTCTCTTTCTCTGCCCACCACACTCTCTCTTTCTCCCTCTTTCTCTCTCTTTCTACATTCTTTCATCATGTAGATTAAACATGGTGATGATAAGTAGATCAGTAGTCTTTGTGTGGGGCAGTCGTGTCCATGTGGGGCAGTAGTGCCTGTGTGGGACAGTCGTGTCCACGCCGGGCAGTTGTGTAGTGTCCGTGTTGGGCGGTCGTGTCTGTATGGGGCAGTAGTGTCTGTGTGGAGCGCCAGTAAGGCCTTTGTAGGGCAGCAGAGTCCGTGTGGGCAGTAGTGCCTGTGTAGAGAAGTAGAGTCCGTGTGGACAGCAGTGCCCGTGTGGGCAGTGGTATCTGTGTGGGGCAGCAGAGTCTGCGCAGGGCATTTGTGTCCACATGGGGTAGTAGAGTCCGTGTGGGGCATTAGTGTCCGTGTGGGGCAGGAGTCTCTGTGTGGGGCCGCAGTGTCCCTGCCTTATTGTCTACTTCCTCTGGCTCAGACAGAGAGGCGGCTGTGTAAGTGCTGTTATTAAATGGAAGTGTTTAAATGGTGATATTACTCACATTAGCTGCACTGAGTACAAGAAGTGACCTCATCACGCTGTGCCAAATTTCCTCACCCTGAAAATGAAACCTCCAAACTCTAGTGCACTAAATCACATTCTCCCTTTAACCTCTTAAACTGCAGAATTATTATTCAGAAACTAAACTATAACATATTCAGTAGCTACTATGAATGTTTCAGTAACTTCTATAAACAATTGAGTAACTACTAGAAATGATTAAGTAGCTACTATAAATTATTCAGTAACTAAAAGACTACTAGAAATGATTCAGGAACTGCAAAATGATTCGGTAACAACTGTAAACAATTCAGTAACTCCTACACAAGATTCTGTAAGTACTATAAATTATTCAAACAATTCAGTAACTACTATAAATGATTCCGTAACTACCATAAAAGATTCTAACCATTCAGTAACTACTATAAAAGATTCAAATGATTCAGTAACTACTATAAATGATTCAGTAACTACCATAAAAGATTCAAACAATTCAGTAACTGCTATAAGTGATTCAGTCACCACTATAAAAGATTCAAACAATTCAGTAACTACTATAAATAATTCAGTCACTGCCATAAAAGATTTAAATAATTCAGTTACTTCTATACGTGATTCAGTCACCATCATGAAGGATTCAGTCACTACTAAGTCACTACTATGTTATTCAGTAACTACCATGAAAGATTCAAACAATTCAGTAACCACTATAAGTGATTCATTAACTACCATAAAAGATTCAAACAATCCAGTTACTTCTATACGTGATTCAGTCACCATCATGAAGGATTCAGTCACTACTAAGTCACTACTATAAATGAATCAGTTACTGTCATAAATTATTCAGTCAATACTGTAAACAATTCAGTAAATACTATAAATGATTAACTTACTTCCATAAATGGTTCAATTACTACTGTAAATAATTCAATAAGTACCATAAAAGATTCAGTTACTACTATAAATTATTTAATAACTGCTAGGTATGAGTCAGTAACAACTATAAATAATTTAGGAACTGCTATTAATAATTTAGTAACTACTATAAATTATTCAGTTACTACTATAAAGTATTCAGTTATTACTCTGAATTGTTTAACTACTAGAAATGAGATAAATGCAGGGAAAAGATGTAGTTACTTTATTAATCCCTAAGGTGAGGTTTGGGTAGGAGTGTGTGTGTGTGTGTGTGTGTGTGTGAGCAGGCTGATGTCACCTGTGCGCTGTACGTGTAGGTGAGACTGATCTGCTCCCTCACTGAAGCATGCAGAGAAGAGCAACCAAGCAATCAATACACACTCCCAGCACAGCTGCGTTCACACACCTGGAAGTGTTGCTTCTGTATCAAACTTCTGAGACTCATATCACTGTGATCAGCTCATGCTCATCACATCCAGACGAACATGTTTTCTCAAAGCAAACTGATTCCACATCAGCTTCACGTATAAAAGAGTAGAATGCAGGCCCTGATGTTCATATGCCCACTGGCATGTTTCTCTATAGCAGCTTTCTTGTTCTCTGGATTTAAACTAGGGGTGAGCATAGTTATTAAACTGTAACCTATGTACAGTGGCACCAAAAGTATTTGAGTATATAAAGTTTGGTTGTGTCAGGAAGCAAAGGATCAAACCAAGTGGTATTTATTTTAAACAGATCATTGAAATACTGTCATTTTTTTGGCAGAGTGTTCAAAGTGTTGGCTGGTGTGTTTCAGATCGTTATTATCTTTGCAGACTTCTGCAGGTTTGCTTCCACACTTATGAGTTCACGATCAGATCAATGGACACGAGCTGGCCAGCACCACTGTAAGAAAAACAGCCCCAGACTTTGACATTTGACATTCCACCTGTGTGCTTTACACCGGCCTTAGTGCTGTCTGGACCTTAAACCACTGTTGTACCTTTGAGGGCACATTTACATTGTTTGAACCTTGATGAACTAAAAATGTACTTCCACAGAACCTTTATTCCAAAAGAAAAGTCATAATTATTAATTCTTCATATTTATATGCTTTGTATTGAGAAATATGGAGGATTTGCTAGCAGAGAACATAAGAACATTGTTACTACAATTATGGCTTTTCAGCCCATGTTGATACATGTAAAACGAACCTGCTGCTTGGCTGTGCTGCTGCCCGCTTGTCTTGTGATGTCACACGATGCTCGTTCTTTAGTGCCATGTGGGATTTCTCACAGTTTTCT